GTACATTCTAAAAACATTTTCATTCAGCATGGTGTGTAAATTAGAGAAGTTTCCCAAATAGCCCTGCCCCGTTTTCGTTCAGTGTAGCTACAGTGCATCTTCAGCCTTTCCTAAAAAATTGTCACATCACTCACCGCCTCCCGCAATAACCACCTCTTTGTTCTCTGCCACTCACCACTCTCTTCTCTCAACTCTCCTGCCTGTGGCCTTCTATCCTGGTCTTCATGCCTCTATTAACCTTCCTGTTTGTTGCTTTTCCCACTCCTATATCTCCCTGACAGCCTGCTCATCTCTTCCTTCAGCTTGTCTGGAATTCAGAAGAGTGAGGGATGATTTGACTAAAGCTTACAAGATCTTGAATAATCTTGACAAGGTGGACGTGGAAAGTATCTTTTCTTTTGTGGGTCAGTCCAGAACTAGGGACACTATTTACAAATTAGCAGGCCACCTTTTCAGGTAGAGATGAAGGGAAGTTTTTATTTCCCATAGAGGACTGTGTGACTTTGAATCTCTGCTTCAGATGGTGGGAAGGTGGAATCATTGAATATTTTTAAGGTGGAAGTAGATAGTTTCTTGTTAGACATGGGAATTAAAGGTTATCGAAGGTTGAGCGTACAAGACCCTGGTGTATTGTGTACAATTCTAGGCACATTACAGGAAGGATGCAAATGCATTGGACAGAGTGTAGAAGAGATTTATAAGATTGTTCCTGAGATGAGACACTTCAATTGTGAGGTAAGATGGAAAATTTGAAACTGTTTTCCTCCAAGAGAGAAGGCTAAGAAGAGATTTGGTAGAAATTCTTAAAATCATGAGGGACCTGGAAAGAGTGGATCAGGTGAAACTGTTTCCACTCATAAACGGATTGAGAACCAGAAGTGTTTTGCAAAAAAAAGCAATTGTGATTTGAGAAAAGACTTTTCACGTAGTGAGTATTTGAGTCTGGAATGCACTGCCTGGAATTATGGTGGAGGGAGATTCAACTGAGGCAGTCAAGAAGATGTGCAGGTTTACAGGGAAAAGGCAGGAGATTGGCATTGTTAAAATGCAGGGAGCTAGTCTAGACACGGTGGGCCGAATCACCTTCTTCTGCACCTTAACAGTTTTAGAATTCTGTGATTCACTTACGACTGGTTGTAGCAGTATTGCAGAACTTTGGCCAGATCCATTATTTAACATGCATAAATTCCTATGTTGCACCTCCACCAGGATGGCAACTTATTTTTTTTACTAAGAACTGACTCTATCTTGCATGCTCTCTTACTGTTCTTAGTATACCAGTAGTGATTCCCCCCTGTTTTATCATGATGGTAGAGTGGGGGTATGCTAGACATGAGATTAAAAATTGTAATTCAACACAATATTACTGGAGCTGATGGTCCAACTCACCTCGTAGATAACAAAAATACGTAAAGACAATTTACAACTGAGCACCAAATAACTCTTGACTCCTTCAGTAATCACTGTTTACCAGTAGATGTCACCTTCTGCAACAAAAAAATCCAAAAAATGGATGCTGGAAGTCACAAGTAAAAACAGAAATTGTTGGAAAATCTCAGTTCTGAAGAAGGATCATTGGGGTTGTAGACTTGTTCGCCGAGCCGGAAGTGATGTCAACTACCCCAGCAAACCGAGGCATATAAATAACAAGTGGGACAGAACACCAACACTTCACCAGAGGCACACTGATGATGTTACCTAGCGTCTGCAACCAAACATACCAGCTCGGCGAGCAAATCTACAACCTCATCCGCAACCCGAGCTACAAATCTTCTCAAAAACTTTCAGGGTCATTGGACCTGAAACGCCAACTCTTCTTTCTCTCCACAGATACTGCCAGATCTGCTGAGTTTTTGCAGCAATTTCTGTTTTTGTTTCTCAATTTTTGCAATATTTCTTACAGAACCCACTTGATAGCTCCTGACATTAAACAAGCTATTGGCTCAGGAGGCAAATGTGGGTATCCAGAAATGACTCATCTTTTCAATTAACAGATGCAGTCACACTGGCACACTGGTTGTGTTCTTCCATTATTTGGGGTTCAACTAATATTTTGGACCTATACTTTATATTGCTTCTTTTTATTTTGAAGTGGATAATGAGCCATTCTGCGAGGAAGAGAATATTAATGGGGGGAAGGGAGATATTGTACGGAATGGAAGTCCTATAAAAGAATGAGTGATGAAGAGGTTAGCCTGACCTCAGTCATTGGTAATATTTTACAGTCCATTAATAAGGGACAACTGCATCATACTTAGAACTGCACGGTAAAATAGGGCTGAGTCAGCACGGCTTCATTAAGGGGAGAGCATGCCTGACAAATCTGTTGGAATTCTTTATGGAGATAATAAACAAGTTAGACAAAGGAGAGCCAAAAGGTGTAATCTATTTGGATTTCCAGAATGTCGTTGATAAGGTGTCACAAACGTGGTTGCGAAATAAGATAGCGTCAGGGGCAAGGTACTGGCATGGATAGAAGATTCGCTGACGAGAAAAAGGCAGAGAGGAGCGATAAAGGGGGTCTTTTTCAGGATGGCAGCCAATAACTAGTGGAGTTCTGCTGGCTTTTTCCTAGGATGGAGGTAGCTCTTACGAGGGGGCATAGTTTTAAAGTGAGTGGAAGTAGATATAGGGGAGACATCAGAAGTAGGTTCTTTACTCAGAGAGTGGTCGGGGCGTGGAATGCATTGCCAGAGAGGGTAGTGGAGTCGGCCTCATTAGGGGCATTTAAGCAGCTATTAGATAGGCATATGGATGATAGTATAAAGTAGGGGTGGTGGTGAGATAGACCTTAGGATTAGGGTAAAAGTTCAGCACAACATCGTGGGCCGAAGGGCCTGTATTGTGCTGTACTGTTCTATGTTCTGTGTTCTATGAGTCAGTGTTGGAACCACAACTATTCATGTTATACATTAACGATCTGGGCAAAGGAACTGAAGACATTGTTGCTCAGTTTGCAGATGAAACAAAGACAGGTGGAGGGTCAGGTAGTGTTGAGGAAACTGGGAGGCTACAGAAGGAGTTTGGACAGGCTAGAACAGCGGGAAAAGATGTGGCAGATGGAATACAAAGTTTGAAAGTGTGAGATTATGCACTTTGGTGGGAAGAATAGAGGTGTAGACTACTTTCTAAATGGGTGAAGGCAAGTGAGTTTGGGGTCATAGTTTGGGATTCTCTTAAGGTTAACATGCAGGTTCAGTTGGCATTTAGGAAAGCAAATGCAATGTTTGCATTCATTTCGAGAGGGCTCGAATATAAGAACAGGAAGGCTCTTACATTGCTAAGACTGTTTAAGGCTCCAGTCAAACTGCACTTGGAATATTGTGAGCAGTTTTGGGCCCCGTATCTAAGGAAGGATGTTCCAGAAGAATTTTACAAGAATGATCCAAGGGATGAAGCACTTGTCATATGAGGAGTGGTTAGGGACTCTGGGTCTGTACTTGATGGAGGTTAGGCGGATGTGCGTTGTCTCATTGAAACTTATGAAAACACTGAGAGGCCTGCTTAGATTGGATGTGAAGAAAATGTTTCCACCAGTAGGAGGGACTAGGACCTGGGGCCACAGGCTCAGAGTAAGGGGATGATCCTTTAGAAGTGAGATGAGGAGGAATATCTTCAGCCAAGGGTGGTCAACCTTTGGAACTCATTGCTACAGAAGGTTAGGGAGGCCAAGTGCATTTAAGACAGTGATTGGCAGGTTCTTGGTGGGTAATGAGATCAAAGGTTATGCAGTGAAGGCAGGAGAAGGGGTTTAAGAAACATATCAGCCATGATTGAATGGCTGAGCAGACTTGATGGGCTGAATGGCCTAATTCTATATCTTATGGTCTAAAAGCAGGATCGTAGTGTCTACATTAGGTGAAACACATTGAGGTAGGCAGATGGCAATAGCTTGAATACTGCAGAGTGGGAAATAGTGTCATTAATTGTCATTTTGGCACTGTTAGGATATCATGAGGAGTGCCGGAGTGTAGCGTGTGAATTACGTAGAATATACCGAGATGTATAATCTACGTAAGTCAAACTAGTCCAGAAGGTTTCACATAAATTTTATATATCTCACCTCAGCCTGTTTATCTTTCTATTTTGTCTTTCACATTCATTTGGTCACCTATTGGAAAGTATTAGCTGTTAAGCCTCAACCACCTCCTGCAATTTTTATTCTCTCAATAAATAAATTTCTCCGCATTTCTCTAGTGTTGTCATTAGCTAAAACAGAAAACTTTGAGGAGTATTGACAACAGTCATATTCAAAATGAGGAGAGAAGGAGAAAGAAACCAGCTAGGTTTGGCAAAATGGTGGTCAAGAACGAAGGAATCATAGGGATCTACAGCACAGAGAAAGGCCCTTTGGCCCAATGAGTCTGCTCCAAGGAAAACAACCCCAGTTTGTCCAATCTCTCTTCAGAACTGAAGCTCTCCAGCCCAGGCAACATTCTGATAAATTTCCTCTTCACCCTCTCCAATGAAATCACATCCCTTCGATAATGTGGATTCCTGAACTGCACACAATACTCCAGCTGTGACATAACTAACATTTTATGCAGTTCCAGTATCACCTCCCTGCTCTTAAACTTTATGCCTCCAGTAATAAAAACAAGTATATTATGTGTTTTTTAACTGCCTAATGCCTGAAGGGACTGCTGTCCAAGGTCATACCAAGGTCCCTCAGATCCTTGGTGTTTCCCAGGGTCCTACCATTCAGCATGTATTTCTTGCTTTGTTTATCCTGCCCGAGTGCATCACCTCACACTCCTGACTAAACTTCATTTGCCACTGATTAGCTCATTTAACCAGACCATTTAAGCCCTCCTGTAATCTAAAGCTATCTTCCTCACTATTTACCACCCCACCAATTTCAGTATTGTGTGCAAGCTTGCTGATCAAAAGTCCTATCAGTTAGACTGTTCACAATCTGATTCTCTAACACTGTCAAAAGCATGTTCTACATACGGTGATTTACTCAAGACATGGTTACAAAGCCAAACAATTGTCCTTACCTGCCAAAAAACAGTAGTCCCCAATGTCTGCTGAGGGAGGAGAAGGCCAACCACCTAGAGAGAGCAGAGGGACTGATTAGACGGTGAACCATATATGAACTGTATTGGATTGCTTAAAATATAGATGTACGGTTCAAATGAATATAAGTCTTCTGCCTTCCACGCACTCTTGATTCATTCCTGGTCAATGAACACCTCTGTTGCAAAGTTGGGTAGAGTATTTGATGTTTATAAAATGATAGGGGAGGAGAGTGTGTGGTCCTTTTAAAAGATGATGTGTTTTTTAGGCTTGGAGATTTTAAAAAAATGTTTGCAGGCAGCAGCAGTTGTAGAGTTCTTGAAATTGAAACATTGTATTAAAAGGCTATACTGTTAGCAGGCTGAGCAGCATTTTTACCAAGACAACAGGTTTTTGAATTTAGCCAATTAATTTAATCCAGGCCCTCAATACCAAAACCCAACTGAAGTTAAATCTAATGGTTTTGACAACTTAGGACCAATCCTATTGTTAGAAATTATTAGGCCATCAAGGGTATAAAAGAAGATGGCATTGAAAATCAGTGTGAGAGTCAACTGTCATCTGCTAAGAGAACAGCTCTCAGCTATCAAAGAAAGAGTCACTGGCTTGCACAGAATTCTCTAAGCTCTCAGAAAACCATCATCTAAACTAAAGGTACAGTGGCACTCTTAGCTTAAATTTCCAGACACAAGAATTCGATGGAGAAAGTTGTTTCCGACCAAGGATTAGTGGAGAGAGTGCAGAGCATTTCGCATGATGTACCCTGGCAGTAATTTCAAGAGATCAAGTTTTAATTTAATTTATTTTTTCCATATCATTACAATTTTGTTTTATTCAGGATTAGTTAGTAGTTAAGTGGGTGTTGCTTGGTTTGTTAGTAGTTCTGTTAATTTGCTCACTGTTAGAGTTAGATAAATAAATTGTTACTTGTTGATTACAGAGTGAGTGAAAGAATTTTATTTTGTTTAACCACTCCTTTATAATAGATTGGGAGGTGAGAGGCAGGTTATACCACTTTTTATACTTCCTTCAAAAGATTTTGAGGCAAGGCGAGCTTCTCTGGGTGTTTCGGTTTGAGTTATCAGAGGGGTTTCGACTTCTGATTCATAACATCTCTCATTTAAAATTTTTATGCTTGTGTTAAAATCCCTTTGCCATCACTACCTCTATAAAATTCCCTCTCAGAGAACTCTGCACACTTCTTACTCCGGCCTCTTGAACATCCCAATGGTCACACAAATGGCAGCCATGCCTTTAGCTATCTGGGTCTAAGTGTCTGCAATCTTCCAATTCTTCCACCTTTACAAAACTGATGAAAAAAAACTACCTCCAGGGTTTTAGTCACCCCTCCTAATATCACCTCCTTTGGCTCAAGGAGAGTTTCTTGCATTAAAAGCAATAAAAACAAATTATCCAAAATCCAAAAGCTAGAATGTATGAAAACTGGACATTTTTGTTTTCTATGAAATCAATCACACATTCAGGGGTGGACATCCACATGCAATATTGGTATTCACATCATAAGACTGTTCCACAAATCAGCATTTTAGTTTCTTTGCATCTATCAAAAAGGGGCTCAATGTCTGTTTTGCGGTCGACCTCTTTAAATGTACTTGATGTGCTCTGATTGCAGCTACCAAGGATGGAGGACAACCTAAGCAATAAAGGGATAATTTCCAACCTCTAACACAAAAGGTAACGATAATTGCCTGATTACAAAGGCAGGTGGTGAAATACTGCATTAAAAACATCTGCATCTGGCCAATGGTCACCCCATTTCTGCTCATTACTTCTCCACAAGGGTAGCTTTGATATGCCCTATTTCGGTGTATCAAGCTTACATTATGAACAAATGGCTAGGGCTGTATTTGCAAGGTTGCTAATAGGGCTGATCGTGTTCCCCTCAGAATTGTAGGAATTCCAACAGATATACTAACCAGTGAATATCAGCATGTGCTAGACAGGAATAGTTAATCCACTGACTGATTTCTCAACTTGTGCATTGAGGAATGGAGCTTGGTTTGACTGGTCAATTTCAAAGGTGAATTTGAGCAGAGGATGAAGCCTACTAAGGTGTTTAAGGAAATTCTCAGATGAAGGTGTGGATTCAAATATAGTAAATGTTTCATCTACAACTTGGAAGTATGCAAGAGATAGGAAGTTAGTGGTCATTCCACTGAGAACACACCTCTCACGCACACACAGCTGTGCTGAAACTGAACTCAACCGTGTGAGTTGGTAAGCTCACATGTATGATGAAAACAGATGCAAACATAAGTGGCACATCTATATTGCCATGATATTGTGGCCTAATAAAAATGTCAATGGCTTAGTGGTATGTTTGTTTAAGACTAAAATGTCAAAAAAATGCCTTGTTGTTTGCAGGAAAAAAGAACATATTCACATATTACGCTTTTAATCCATGAGGAAATTGCTCTGGTGACAGCCAATCGCTGCTGCATTCCTGTGAAAACGCCCCACCAGAGCTGATCTGCCTGGTGTGCATTTAATCAGTTAACTACGGCTTGACAATTAATAATTCCAGCTGTGTCTCTTCAACCATCATCCAAACAAGCAGCATCCTCTTCTCAGGCTGTATAAATTATTGTTTCTGTCCTGAATTTCTCTTTCATGCATTTCAGTCCTAATAAATGCAAAATAAAAAGCTACAATTTCATGTCTCTCTTCAGCAATATATGTCTTTTCTTACATAAGATGTAATTTGAGAGTCTAGTTGGGGCAGTTCTTTTGTCTAAGGGCAAAAATCTAATTGGAGAGACTAAAGTGAGACAAGGATTTTGAAGGAGATAGTAAATTCAAGAAATTTATAGAGGAAAAGAAAGTTGGAGAGAATGGTTAGTTGGAAGGACATAGGGTGTGATGAAAGTTGTGTTAGATCATTTTTGGGATTTGGGACTTTTTTTTAAGAAGGGTGTATGTACTTTATAAAAACATCTTCACAGATTTGACCAAACAGTTCAGAAAATAATTCTGACAGGGACCTAAGTACCTCAGCTCCAAACAGACGTTTGACCACACTTAAGTGCCTAGCAAACTCCTGCAGTGTCAACAGATGTTTATACAGACTTCAGAACAGAAGATTCAGAGCTTTAAGTTTAGAAGAAACCTGAAGTTCAATTCAGAAAGTAAATTAGTTTCTCTTTGCAAGGGAACCAAGTTGTTTCCTATAACAGAATCACTTGTTTGTCTTCTTTTATGTAATAAACTGATGTTCTGTTGTTACAGAAAATCAGCAGCATTGTATAAACATGTTTCAGTGACCAATCACCATGTTAACTAACTAACAATAAATAAAATTAAACAGAAAAGCTATCAAGTCAGGTTTCATTCTGGGATCTCATTTGTCCAGCATACCATCATTTGGGATCACAACAGTGATTGAGTGTATTTTGCAGAAGGAGGTTGATAATAACGTTTTTAAGTTAGGACCTGAAGACAGAGAAACATTTAAGTTTCAGAGGCCATGGGGTCAAGAAGCCAAGTGGGTGGCTACTATTTTATTGTGAATGGGCCAATGAAGCAGTGGTTGCATTTCATTGGTGAGATGAACTCAGAGAAGCCAAGGGGAGATAGAAGAGAAACCAGACGAGGGCTTGAGCAAGAGGAAGTGTGGTGTACGTTTGGTAGGCATAGGGAAATAAGAACAGCAGGAGCACAACAGATAGTTTCAATCTGTGAAGAAAAAATCAGAGTTAACATTTCGGATCCAGTGACCCTTCCTCAGAACCTGAAACGTTAACTCAGATTTTTTCTTCACAGATGCTGCCAGACCTGCTGAGCTTTTCCAGCAATTTCTGTTTCTGTTCCTGATTTACAGCATCCACAGTTCTTTCAGTTTTTATTTAGATGGTTTCAATCATTATGGCAAAGAATTGATGACCATCTCCTGTTGAAGGTGCCAATCAAAGAGGAGAAGAAAAATTTAAGATGGTGATTTAGTGTGCAGTGAATAAATCATGGTTTTTATTTTCACAAATAAGTGCTGGATGTAAAAGGTGATTTGGTTCTGACCACTACTGAAGTAGGCAATATCCCTGTGGTACTTACCAGTCATGCATCTCAAGTATGATGGATCAATGCAGGTGGCATCATCAATTGTAGATTTTATTGGTACACAAAGTTAGGGGATGAAAATTGTCACTAGAGGATTGGTTAACTAACAGTAAGCTTAGAGTTGGGATAAATGAGTGCTTTTCTGGTTGGCGATCAGTGACTAATGGTGTGCCTCAGGGAACTGTGTTAGGATTGCAATTGTTTACAATTTACATCAATTATTTGGAGTTGGGCACCACGTGTAATATGTCAAAGTTTGCAGATGACACTAAGCTGAGTGGTAGAGCAAAGTGTGCAGAGGACTCTGAAAGTTTGCAGAGGGATATGGACCATTTAAGAGAGTGGGCAAAGGAGATGGAGATGGAGTAGATGGAGTACGATGTTGATAAATGTGAAGTTATCCATTTTGGTAGGAACAACAGTAAAAAGGACTATTATTTAAATGATGAAAAATTGCAGCATGCTGCTGTGCAGAGGGACCTCGGTGTCCTTCTGCATGAATCAAAGAAGGTTGGTTTGCAGGTACAACAGGTAATTAAGAAGGTAAATGGAATTTTATCCTTCATTGCCAGAGGAATTGAGTTTAAAAGGAGGGAGGTGATGTTACAGCTGTATAGGATGCTGGTGAGGCCACACATGGAGTGCTGCGTGCAATTTTGGTCTCCTTATTTGAGAAAGGATGTACTGGCACTGGAGGGGGTGCAGAGGACAGCCACTAGGTTGTTTCCAGAGTTGAGAGGGTTGGCATATGAGGAGAGACTGAGTAGACTGGGATAATATTCATTTGAATTTAGAAGAATGAGGGGGGGTCTTACAGAAACATATAAAATTATGAAGGGAATAGATAATATAGAAGCAGGAAGGTTGTTTCCACTGGCGGGTGAAACTAGAACTCGGGGGCATAGCCTCAAAATAAGGGGGAACAGATTTAGGGCTGAATTGTGGAGGAACTTCTTCACCCAAACAATTGTGAATCTGTGGAATTGCCTGCCAGTGAAGTAGTTGAGGCTTCCTCATTGAATGTTTTAAAGCTAAGACGGATAATTTTTTGAACAGTAAAGTAACTAAGGGTTATGGTTAGAGGGTGGGTGAGTGGAGCTGAGGCCACAAAAAGATCAGCCATGATCTTACTGAATGGTGCAGCAGGCTCGAAGGCCAGATTGCCTCCTCCTGCTCCTGGTTATGTTTTTATGTACCAGGAAATCACTGACATTGTAAATACATAAAGTCTTTACCAAGGTGCATCTTATAAATACTTACAATTGGGGTCCCAAAAGGAATATAACCTGCAAAAACGGAATAAACAGGCATTAACATGTCTTTTTACGATCTGTTTCTCATTTATTTATTCACTATTTATTCACTTGTGGGACGTGGACTTTGCTGGCTGGGCCAGCATTTATTGCTTGTCCCTAGTTGCTCTTGGGGAGGTAGTGGTAAGTTGTTTTCTTGAACTGCTGCAGTACATGTGCTATTGGTGAATGAGTTCCAGGATTTTGACTCAATGACACTGAGGGAGTGGCAAAATATTTCCAAATCAGAATGTTGTGTGGTTTGGAGGGGAATTTTTAGGTGGTGGTGCTCCTATGTATGTGTTGCTCTTGTCCTAGATGAATGTCCCTGGTGTGGAAGGTGCTGTCTAAGGATCTTTGGTGAATATTTGCAGTGCATCTTTTAGATAATACAAATTGTTGCTACTGAATATTGGTGTTTTGTCCTGGATGGTGTCAAGCTTCTTGAGTGGTAGTGGAGCTATGCACATACAGGCAAGTAGGGAGTATTCCATTACACCATTAACTTATATCTTGTAGATGGTGGGCAGGTTTTGGGGAGTCAGGAGGCAAATTACTTGCAGCAGGATTCCTAGCCTCTGATGTGCTCTTGTAGCCGCAGTATTTATATGGCTAATCCAGTTAAGCTTCTGGTCAATGGTAAACCCCATGGTGTTGATAGTGGGGAATTCAGTGATGATAATGCCATTTAATGTCCAGTGGTGGTGGTTGGACTGTCTCTTTTCGATTCTTCCATACCCCAGGATTCTAGACTCCAGTCCTTTGAATTACATTGGATTGCATATGCTCTAGACGATGAACCCCTTCACCCAATAAACATAAGAACATAAGAATATAAGAACTAGGAGCAGGAGTAGGCCATCTGGCCCCTCGAGCCTGCCCCACCATTTAATAAGATCATGGCTGATCTTTTTGAGACTCAGCTCCACTTACTCTTAATTCCTTTACTGTTCAAAAATTTATCTAGCCTTGCCTTAAAAACATTCAGTGAGGTAGCTTCAACCGCTTCACTGGGCAGGGAATTCCACAGATTCACAACCCTTTGGATGAAGAAGTTCCTCCTGACCTCAGTCCTACATCTGCTTCCCTTTATTTTGAGGCGATGCCCTCTAGTCCTAGTTTCACCTGCTAGCGGAAACAACCTCCCTGCCTCCACCTTATCTATTCCCTCTTCGATCTGTTTGTTTCCTCTCCACCTATCCTCTCCTCTATCCCTCTTCTATCCGCCTCCCACTCTCTCCCTATTTATTTCAAAACCCCCTTCCCCTCCCCCTTTTCTGATGAAGGGTCTAGGCCCGAAACGTCAGCCTCTCTGCTCCTATGATGTTGTCTCGGATTCTCCAGCATCTGCAGTTCCTACTATCTCCCTTCATAATCTTATATGTTTCTATAAGATCTCCCCTCATTCTTCTGAATTCCAATGAGTATAATCCCAGTCTACTCAGTCTCTCCTCATAATCCAACCCTCTCAACTCTGGAATCAACCAAGTGAATCTCCTCTGCACCCCCTCCAGTGGTAGTATATCTCTTCTCAAGTAAGGAGACCAAAACTGCACACAGTACTCCAGGTGTGGCCTCACCAGGACCCTATACAGCTGCAGCATAGCCTCCCTGTTTTTAAACTCCATCCCTCTAGCAATGACAGACAAAATTCCATTTGCCTTTTTAATTACCTGCTGCACCTGCAATCCTACTTTTAGCGACTCATGCACAAGGACACACAAGTCTGTCTGCACAGCAGCGTGCTGCAATTTTTTACCATTTAAAACATAGTCCATTTTGCTGTTATTCCTACCAAAATGGATGACCTCATACTTATCAACATTGTACTCCATCTGCCAGGCCTTTGCCCACTCACTTAGACTATCTATATCCCTCTGCAGACTTTCAGTGTCTTCTGCACACTTTGCTCTACCACTCACCTTAGTGTCATCTGCAAATTTTGACACATCACACTCAGTCCCCAACTCCAAATCATCTATGTAACTTGTAAACAATTGCGGTCCCTACACTGATCCCTGAGGCACACCACTAGCCACTGACCGCCAAACAGAAAAGCACCCATTTACCGCTACTCTTTGCTTTCTACTGGTCAACCAATCCTCTATCCATGCCAATACATTACCTGTAATACCGTGCAACTTTATCTTATGTAGCAGCCTTTGGTGTGGCACCTTGTCAAATGCCTTCTGGAAATCCAGATACACCACATCCACAGTTTCCCCATTGTCCACCATGCAAGTAATGGCCTCAAAGAATTCCACCAAATTAGTTAAACATGACCCATGAACCCATGCTGGGTGTTTCCAATGGGAGAATTTATATCCAGATGTCTTGCTATTTCTTCCTTAATGATAGATTCAAGCATTTTCCCCACTACCGAAGTTAAGCTAACTGGCCTATAGTTACCTGCTTTTTGTCTACTTCCTTTTTCAAACAGTGGCGTCACATTGGCTGTTTTCCAATCTACAGGAACCACCCCAGAGTCCAGTGCATTTTGGTAAATAATTAGTAGTGCATTTGCTATTTCCTCCATCACCTCTTTTAGTACCCTGGGATACATTTCATCAGGGCCAGGAGACTTGTCTACCTTTAGCCCCATTAGCTTGCCCAGCACTGCCTCCTTAGTGATAATGATAGCGTCTAGGTCCGCGCCTGCTATAACCTTCTTGCCATTAGTTTTCGGCATGTTATTTGTGTCTTCCACTGTGAAGACCAACACGAAATAACTGTTTAATGTCTCGGCTATTTCCTCATTCCCAGTTATTAAATTGTCCTTCTCATCCTCTAAAGGACCAATGTTTACCTTCGCCACTCTTTTACGATTTACATATTTATAGAAACTTTTGCTGCTTGTTTTTATATTCCGAGCTCGTTTACTCTCATAATCTATCTTACATTTCTTTATAACTCTTTTTTTGTGGCTTTCTGTTGGCCTTTAAAGATTTCCCAGTCTACTAGTTTTCCACTAATCTTTGCTTTTTTGTATGTGTTTTCTTTCAATCTGATACTTTCCTTTATTTCCTTGGACATCCATGGCTGGCTCTCTCTTTTCCTACAGTTCTTTCTTATCGCTGGAATATACTTCTGCTGAACATTTCAGTTTGTAACCTCCTAACGTGTGTTGTATTTTTCCACTCATGCAGCCATTGTTGCACTGATTTGCAGTGATCTGATTAGCAAGGCAGTGAGTACTGCGACATCGTCTGAGCAGGAAATCAATGTCCCAATCTAAAGTTACTGAACCATCAAATTTTAAATCCCAGATTTTGATTTATTTCTTTGTAAATTTTCTCACTTCTTGCCAAGAAAACATGGACCTCTCACTTTGATACACTTCCATTAGCATTCCAGTTCACCTGACTGACCATTGTTGAAGTAAAAATGGTCAGTGAAAGTTCACAGGTTATGTTTCACCGTAGAAGCGCATCAACAATGCACAGAGCTGACCTCATCTATCAGCTTTCATTGTTAATTTTGTTAATCAGAATAGCCCAAATATGAATAAGTTTTTTTCTGCCACTGATATCACAACCACTAATTTTCAAGTTCTACAAGATCATAAGAAAAAGGAACAAGAGAAGGCTGTTTGGTCCCTCTAGCCTGTTTCACCATTCAATAGGATCATGGCTGATCTGACACTTGTCATGTCCACTTTCCTGCCTTTATCCCATAAACTTTCATTCCCCGAATGATCAAGAATCTATCTGTTTCAGCCTTAAATATACCCAAGGTCTCTGCCCCCATAGCTCTCTGCAGCAAGGAGTTCCAAAGACGCACAAGCCTCTGAGAGAACAAATTCCTTGTTTTGTCAATCTTCTCAAACCCCTTCTACATATTACTGCTCCAGATAAATTTATTACTGCTTCTAACTGACTGAATGTCATGAGCTGCAAGACAATTTTGTACTGAAACATTGAGAACAAATGGGTACTGCTGGG